AGTTGGGAGCATCAGCTCAAAAGCCAATAAGAATTTTGGGTATCGCTTATAAATGATCTACAAATGCTCTATGAAAATGGGTCAATTTAGAGCAAATGTTTGAAAAGCACAACCTATTAGTATTACCAAAAAAAACATTATAATAATTTTGACCCTCATTACAAAAACCCCAAAATTAAACACAAAGATTTTTGACTTTGTAAAGCCTCCTCTCAATATTGGAAAAGCCCGTCTTAAATGCCTCTTGTAATGACAACCTATTATATATAGGCATCTTATTCAAAAAAACCCAGAAGGAGAAAGGCAATTAGATGCTTTCAAATATATATATATATATATATATATATATATATATATATATAGAAAAATTCAATAGAGAATTATAATTATTGGTTCTCCAAAGAAACAATTTTTTTTCCAAGTTTTAGAGCTTCTTGTTTATCGAAAAAAAAAACTAAAAATTTCTAAAAAAATAATTTCACATTGTGAATGCTAAAAAATAAATTATATATTTTATGAGTTCACCGCGTTAATTCAAATTCACATTGTGAATCTGCACACAGATTCATACTGTGAGTTTGACGATTATTTATTTATTTATTTTTATTGAATTTGATATCATTGGAAAAAGGCCGGATAAAAAGTTATGAATTTCTATATTTTTAGTGTTTTTTATAAAAAAAAGAAGCTCTAAATGTTGAGAAAAAAGATTGATTTATTGGTTAATTATGGTTCTCTATTGAACATCATCTTATATATATATATATATATATATATATATATATATATATATATATATATATGTTTAAATAGGCATGAAAAAAACCCCAACCTATTATTATAGGCATCGCATGTTATTGTGGTTTTTTCGGTAATTGTCGTATGTTTTATTAATAATGGGTCAACACGTAGTAATATCTTTTTTCGTGCAGCTGCTCAAGATATCCATGATACAGTAGATGCGTTTTCCAGAACCAGGATTTTCGATGATGTACGTTCATCAAAAGATGTGGTAAGTTTCTCTTTTAAACACTCTAGAAACAGAATTTGTTACGAATATAGCATTGACCTGATGAATTCTTTATCCACAGCAACCCGATCCTGAAAATGACAATCCCTGGCAGATAGCTGGTGGAAGGCGAAGGCGAAGGCAAAGGCAAAGGCACCATGTGTCGAGCAATGGTGGATATGGAGTTTCTATGTTCGGGAAGTCAAAGAATCATAATCTTATTTAAGGAAGTTATTATTTTGTAGAATTTTCCATGTTCTTCATGTTGCATATCTTGTAACAATGGTGATATATAAGAAACTAGGTGTGAGACTTATGTATTAAATGAATTTATTTAAAGAAAAATTAAATATTTGAAAAGTTTGAATTTATATGAAATTGAAAAAATATATTAAATTATTATAATTAAAGTGTCTTTTCTTCTTTTAAATATAAACATATAATTTAGACAAATAAACCAAAGAAACTAATGAAGCTTTAATTTTGTAATTTTGAAATTAGAAGGAAAGTCCATTATTAAAATTGATATGCATTTGTAATTATTTATTACATTTAAATACTATGTGGAATTTAATAAAATGGAAAAACCATAAAATGAAATATGGAAAAAAAAATAAAATAAAAATAATAAGAAAAAAACCATTTTTTATCTATTAGAGAGGATTGATAATGACCGTGGCTTTTGATCTGTTTAAGGTTTATAAACATTTTATGTGTGTAGTTTGCATAACATAGCCTAAGTGGAATTTCAGGAAAATAAAAAGCATCACCAAAAACAATTTTATTATTAAGTAGCTGAAGATAACTTTCACACAAAAATCATCCAGTAGACTCCTCTATTTTATTAACCTGTACACATAGTCTTGATTCCAATCATCTTTTCTTCTGCTAAGGCATCGAATCTGCCATTGGAAACTCCAAATATTATTTCTTTTAATTTTGATCCCCATTAAAATAGTTAGGATTTTTAACCGGAATGTTCCAGTTACTGCAAACTTCCATATTCCTACCCAAATATCCTAATTAGAGACCAAACAACTTCAATCTAATATCTTTTGAACCACTTTAATCACGGAGTTGGATTCATTCCCAAAAAGCCTCTTATTTCTCTCACGCTAAATTTGATACACAGTCGCAGCCAAAGCAAGCAATTTTTTTGAAAAAATAATAAATATTCTTCACTTTGAACATGTTTTGGAGTTCTTCAATAATCTCATAACCAATTCCCTTGGTTATGACTAATATTCACTTTCTGTTTCACCAAATTCCAAACTTCATTTTGGAACTTACATTCAAAAAATAGATGGCAATGAGAGTCCACCTGGTCTTTACTTTATAGTAAGAACATTTTATATCATTAGAAGCCTTCAATTTTTTTCATGGGAAATTTTGTGAAATGACAAAAAAGGGGGTGTTTGAAAAAAATGACGAAGAAAATGGAACTTTCAGAAAATGTCCACAATTTCCACAAAGAGGGTCTCTGCGGAACTTGTTAGCCTCTGAGGAAGAGGAAAATCTCGGAGGAAATGACGTGGTAGGGGTAAATTTGTAAAAACACAAAAAAAAGATAAACAAATTGATAGTGTATGTCGATTCCAAGAGGGAGGTCTGCAGACGAAACGAGGGTCGTTGTGGAACAAGGGAAACGAAGGAAGAAACGAGGCGGAAATTGACCGGAATTAATCGGAACGAAAGCTGGAAATCGATCAACATGGTGAGGCGAGCGCGGAAGAGCAGTAACTAAACATAGACGTGTTATCAGGTGGCTATGGAACTCATCTAAGTTCATCATCTTCCTTTGAAATGCTATGAAACCCTAGCTTATAAATTATCTTAGAAACGTAGTTTTATAGTTTAAATTGTTATATTGACTCAATGATATGCGCGAAATGTTGATACCTCGTTAAATTAAGAATAAAACAGTTACGGAAGAACAATTCCTCAGAGCCATATGTTTGAAGAACAGATCCGCAGAGGGCTCTGTGGATCCTCTTAGCCCTCGGCGGAAACGGTGATTTTTTTAAAAAATGCAGTTGAGGCGTGGAAATTTAGATTTTTTTAAAAAAAATGTAGATAAAAATGCTTTAATTTTTACATATGCTCTAGGAACCTGTCGCCACAAATGGATGTGTTTGTCACCGGAAATCAACGTGTGTCGCCGGAAAAGGATGAACTAATCTAACGAGTTGGTGGTGGAGGCAAATTGGAGGAGTTTGCATGTGGAAAACACTCCTTTAAGTCGGAGATACGGTGTTGCCATCGGACATTTGGAGAGAGAAAAAAATGGTTGCTCTTGGTAGCTGATCGGGGACGAAGCTGGACAAAAAGGGGACTAACCTTTAGCGGCGACAACAGAGTAGTAGCAGAGAGCAGCAGCAACAACTTGTTGGAAGGAAACAGACACGACATTTTTATCATATTTTTGGCCATCGGATCAAGTCGATATCGTAGGGCCAAGATCGCTTGTCACGTGGGTCACACGGATCTAAAGCATTAGCGTTGACGCCGTCGTCGCAAAAGGTTTCATCGCTAACTTCCCCGAGAGTCAATCCTATCCGTTGGGTCATGTTGCAAATGTAGGGTCAAGATTGATATTAGTGTGTGTATGCCAGATCGCCGATAAATATTTTTAGCGACGACACCAAGCACGTCCAAGCATGTGTTGTCTGATGTCGTCACTAAAGGTCTTGTCATCTCTAAAAGTGTAGTCCCTAATGCTCTTTTTTCTTGTAGTGAAACCATAAGTATAAGCATAAACGAAAGAGGCCAACACTTATTTTATGATTTGTATTTTTTATGTTTAATTATTGTTTAATAACATGTACTTTTTAAAATATGTTTCTTTGATGACTGAGATGATAAATAGAAATGAAAGAAACGATGATAATCAATTATAATTCATAATGTTATATTTGTTTGTTGTAGTTGTAGTTCTACAATATGAAATATAAGCCGCTATTACATCTTTTTGTCCATGGCATGAAAATCGCTCGGACCTGCTAGATAACTAGTACATTTACATACATGGTAAACAAGCGCTACAATAAAAATAAATCCTACACAGCAAATCCTAAATTGTACCAAAAAACCAAAGCTTTTATGAAACACCAAAATAAACATAAAAATTAAAACGATTACGAAGCGAAATTTCTTAGACTAAAACCGCAGGAACAAGCAAAAAAAGAACAAAAATATGATTCGAATATCTGGAAATTAGTTTTTTAATTGGGCTGTGCAAGATATGATGCGATGAGGATAGACTAAACTTAAACATTTTCAACGAAGCCCAATTAAACTAAGTACTCCCTACGTCCCAAAATTATAGTCCATCTTTCCTTTTTGGTTTGTCCCAAATTAATAGTCCACTTCTAAAAATAAATAACATTTTTACCAAAATACCCCATCATTATTACTTAACCAACTAATCATTTAATTAAACATTAAATGCAAAGTAAGGACAAAACTGTCATTTTATTATATAAAGTTAGTGGTAATTAATGATTTTCTTAATCTGTGTGTTTTTTGTCTGTGGACAATAATACTTAGACGGAAGGAGCAGTATTTAGGAAGTGTTTGGCAAAAAAAAAACTTATTGCTTATTAGATTATTAATTTTTTAACTTATGGAACCTAATAAATTATTTTAAAAAGCTTAGTCAAACACCTCCTTAGCATATAAACCTTTCCTTTGTCGTAGACGTAGACCCTAGTTTTATCTTGAACTCTACCTTTACGATCTTCCTCGGCTATCTGCATGGTAATATTAACCCTAATCCACTCCATATTGTTTTATTTTCAATCATTCTCTCATCGTTTTTCACTCTCTAAAGCATATCTAACCCTAACCCTACAAGCTAGCGTCAAGCTTCGACCCACAATCCCACATCATATAACTCAATTATTTAACTAAGTAGCGTCAGTTTCGTATTTTTTACCATAAGTTCGAAAGCTTCTTGATTTTGCGTAGGATGTTGAATTAATTGTTGAGCTTGATGAAAGTTTTGGGGCTGGTTTTTAAAGTATTAACCAGTGTTTAGTTTTTTCTTCATGCCCTGATTTGAGGTTTAAGATTGGTTTATGTGGGTCTGAATTCGGATTCATTGTTCTGTAGAAAAATAAAGAAAGAATAATTGATACGGATGATGTTGTTGGTGAGAAGTTTAAGTTGGGAAGGAAGATTGGGAGGGGAGCTTTCTGTGAAGTTTATGCAGGTGTTAATCTTCAAAGTGGGGAAGAAGTAGCTATTAAGCTGGTAATGATTTCAAGCTCTATTTGTGTGATTAATTGATTGTTACAGTTGATCTTCAAACAAGATTTTGTGAGCCCAAACTAATTTCTTTATTTGTACTCTCTAGGAACCTGTCACAACGGAGCATCCTCAACTGTATCATGAATCAGAAATATATAAACGTCTCCAAGGAGGAGGTTTGTCTCTCTCTTTATGTATTATATATTTGGATAGTTTGTGTTGATTCTTTTACATATTATCTGATATTGTGTTTGTTTAAGTTTAATGCAGTGGGAATACCGAGCCTGAAGTGGTTTGGAGTTGAGAGGGGGTACAATATAATGGTTATTGAGCTTCTTGGACCAAACCTCCAAGAACTTCTGGACAGATGTGGTGGAAAGTTCAGCTTGAAGACAGTTTTAATGCTTGCAGATCAACTAGTAAGTTGTGAAAGTTAAGCATGGCATGGCATGAAAGAATTGGTTATATTGTGTTTCGGTCTCTTCTTGTGGAAATAGACATAAACACCCTCCTCATCTCCATTATTGAATATATAGCCCTAGGAATTTTGTTCAGTCCTGTGTAACAAATGCAGCATCATTTGAATTCTGAATCATATTTATGCCAACTTTTGCAGATAGAAGCAGTGGAGTGTATGCATGATAAGGGTGTTATTCACCGTGATATAAAGCCTGAAAATTTGTTAATGGGTTTGGGGAGCAATGTTTGTCAGGTAGCTGTTCAATTATGTAAATATCTTATCATTGTTCCCTTTAGCATGTGGGTTTGTTTTTTTGATGAAAAAAAGCATATAAGCCATTGTTGCACGACCAATTTCATACCACAATTTGTGCAAAAATTGCTGGTAGTTCATATAGCCTCATGTTTTAGCTTGTATTAGAATGCTTGATTTCAGAGTAATTGGTGCATGATATATTGTGTTAGATGAAATTATAAATTGAATTTAATGTATGGTCGCAAGAATATCTATATTGGAGTGATATTACGATAAATTAACGGTTCATATGGCAGGTGTACATTACAGATTTTGGCCTTGCAAAACTTTATATAGATCCTGAGACAGATGAACACATATCATATAGGTATTTTGTAAGTCCTATTTATTCTTGATTAAAAGATTGGGTTAAATGCAAGAAATAGCAATTTGATTTGCTTATTATAACATCTTTCTGACATTTCTTCTTGTGCTTTGAAAATTCTAATTACAAAAATGCCTTGGAATACAAGGCTTTTTACATTGCTTTAATAGAGTAAAATTTTCAAAGTTTAATACTCTATCAAGAAAAAAAAAATGTAAGTAGAATGCTATAAATAGGCGTATAATACCGTAGTAAGACAAAAAAAATGGAAGTAGAGTGTTGTGATGGAAAGAAATGAAAGTAGGATGGAGAAAGTAAGATGCTATTTCTTGCATATATAAGTTTTTAATCATGGGTCAAACAGTTTAAAACTTTAAAACTTGACCAAAATGTATTCAACTGTTTTGAAATCGCTTTCTATTTATAGTTTTTGTAGGCAAGTTTGTACACAGTTTCAATTGTAGGCATTTTAATTTTTTGCAGGGAACATAAAAGTTTCGTAGGCACTCATCGCTATGCGAGTCTGTATACACACTGTGGTGTCGGTGAGCTGTTCATCTTATTAGTTTTTAATATTTATTTTTTATAAGAAGTTTTTAATGAGATCGAATTTGATGCTTTTTATATGACCTTGCAGAACAAAGTAGACGTGTTGATGTAGAGTCTCTTGGTTATGTTCTTGTGTATTTCCTAAAAGGAAGGTTAGAGCAAGAAAGGTATAACAATTAAAACTATTACTAATATTATCTAATTTAAACAAAAAGCAAGAAAGGGTTTTTCTCTAGTTTTGCAAGACTTGAAACTTAGACAATTACTCAAACACTTAGCAAGAAACAATTAAATACTAAATAAACAACAAAAGACAACTAGATTCAAGAATATTAAAAAGACTTCTGGTTATATTCGATTCACTTATTCCTGTGGTTGATTTCGTGGCAAGTGCAATGAATTAACTTATCATCAATTAACGATTTCTAATGTGATTAGGTTCATGTTCATTATTACTAATCCTTTAGCAAACAAATTAATTCATGCAGTGATCAAGTGATTAAACTAAATAGTTTACTAGTGTTAAGTTCGAATTATGCAAGATTTGTAATAGTAGTTAATTAAATTGGTTAGTTCAATTAACTTATATATGGTTAGTCATCATATATAGTTCACACATTAATTTACTTATTTTCTAGTTAACCCTAAGTTATGTTCACAACACTAGGCTTATAATCTTGTTTTCACAAAATCATAAGAGGCAAGCAATCAAGAAGATGTTCATGCAATCTCAATTTACTTAGTAATCAATAGAAAATAATTATCATTAACACATAAGGTTCTTTTAACAACATGCATATACAAATTTCATATAACACTTTCAATTCATATACAAATTTCATATAACAAGTTCATATGTAAATTTCATATACAATTCATAAAAAGATTTTCATTTAAAATAAAAATTCATATACAATTCATATAACACTTTCAATTCATATACAACTTTCACATAAAGCTGATGGAAAGTAACAAAATACACATCATACATGCATAACAGAAAAATTATGCCAAAAAAACGCACATGTGGCCGGAAAAATCAACCTGTGGAGTTATAGTGGTGTTGGTCGCCATAGCAAAACTTTGATGTGGCGATGGTGGCTGTTGTGTGCTTAATCAGGTGAAATTAGACAAATAATTAAAGGAATCGAGATCAAAATAGAAAGTGAAAGAGAAAGGAGGACATACCGTTGCCAGATTCACCTGAATCGATGCGCATGTCGCCCGAAATCAACGCATGTCACTGGAAATGGAGGCATGTCGCCAGAAATGGATGAACTAATCCAACGAGTTAGTGGTGGAGGCAATTCGAAGGAGTTCGCAAGTGAAAAACGCTCCTTTACGTCGGAGATACAGTGTCAACGTTGGACAATTCGAGAGAGAAAAATGGTTGTGCTTGGTAGCTGATTGAGGACGAAGCTGGACAAAAAGGGGACTAACCTTTAGCAGCGACACCAGAGCAGCAGAGAGCAGCAACGGCGACTTGTTGGAACGAAACAGACACTGACATTTTCTCTTCATTTTTGTCTATCAGATAAAGTCAATATCGTTGGGCCAAGATCGCTTGTCACATGGGTCACGCGGATCGAAAGCATTAGCGTTGACGCCGTCTTCGCAAAAGGTTTCATCGTTATTACTTTCTCGAGAGTGAACCTTATCCGTTGGATCATGTTGCAAATGTAGGGTAAAGACTGATACTAGTGTTTATTTGTCGGATCGTCGATGGATATCTTTAGCGACGACATGAGCCTTTAGTGGCGACACCAAGCATGTCTCGTCTGATGTTGTCACTTAAGGTCTTGTCGTCACTAAAAGTGTAGTCCTTAATACTTTCTTTTCTTGTAGTGAAACCATAAGTATAAGCATAAACGAAAGAGGCCGACACTTATTTTAGAGAAATTAAATATCCCCCTACTTTTTGTTCCTAGTAATCCTCCTACCCAATTAAATAGTGACATGTGTAACATTTAATGATGTTTTAATATAATAATATGACATATATCATCATTTAATTGGGTATGAGGATTTATAGGAACAAAAGTAGGAGGATATTTAATTTCTCCTTATTTTATGATTTGTATTTTTTATGTTTAATTATTGTTTAATAACATGCACTTTCTAAAATATGTTTCTTTGATAACCAATACCGAATGATAAATAGAAATGAAAGAATCGATGATAATTAATTATAAATAATAATGTTATATTTGTTTGTTGTACTCGTAGTTCGACAATATGAAAAATAAGGCGCTATTACATCTTTTTGTCAATGGCATGAAAATCGTTCGAACCGGGTGGATAACTAGTACATTTACATACACAGGGCCCGCTCTAACCTTTGCAAAACTAAGCAAGGTTTAGGGCCCCAATTGTAAAGGGCCCCAAATTTTAAAACTTATTATGGTAATTATATATGTATATATACCTATTTATTGGGTTCTAAAGACAAATCAGAGCTTGGCCTGGTGGTAAAAGTGTTGATTTATAAAACTAATGGTATGAAGTTCGAAATTTTCCTTACTTAAAATGTTTCCTTACTTAAAGAGTCCCAATTTTCTTGTTTGTACATACATGGTTGACAAGTGCTACAATAAAAATAAATCCTACACAGCATATCCTAAATTGTACCTAAAAACCAAAGTTTTTATAAAATACCAAAATAAACATAAAAGTTAAAAAAAGATTACGAAAACAAAATTTCTGTAGACTTTACCGCAAAAAAAGAACAAAAATGTGATTCGAATATCTGGAAATTAGTTTTTTAATTGGGATGTGCCAGATAAGATGCGGCGAGGATAGACTAAACTTAAACATTTTCAACGAAGCCCAATAGTATTTACCATATAAAGCCTTCCTTGTCGTGGACGTAGACCCTAGCTTTATCTTCACTCTACCTTCACGATCTTCCTCGGCGATCTGCATGGTAATATCTAACCCTAATCCACTCCTATTGTTTTATTTTCAGTCATTCTCTCATCGTTTTTCACTCTCCAAAGCATATATCGTTCGTTTTCCTCATATAATTCCTTGATCCCTCCTTGTTTTTCCCCTACAAGCTAGCGTCAAGCTTCGACCCACAATCCCACATCATATAACTCAATTATTTAACCAAATAGCGTCAGTTTTGTATTTTTACCATAAGTTAGAAAGCTTCTTGATTTTGCATAGGATGTTGGATTAATTGTTGAGCTTGATGAAAGTTTTGGGGCTGGTTTTTAAAGTATTAACCAGTGTTTAGTTTTTTCTTCATGCCCTGATTTGAGGTTTAAGCTTGGTTTATGTGGGTCTGAATTCGGATTCATTGTTCTGTAGAAAAATAAAGAAAGAATAATTGATACGGATGATGTTGTTGGTGAGAAGTTTAAGTTGGGAAGGAAGATTGGGAGGGGAGCTTTCAGTGAAGTTTATGCAGGTGTTAATCTTCAAAGTGGGGAAGAAGTAGCTATTAAGCTGGTAATGATTTCAAGCTCTATTTGTGTGATTAATTGATTGTTTCAGTTGATCTTCAAACAAAATTTTGTGAGCCCAAACTTATTTGTTTATTTGTACACTCTCTAGGAACCTGTTACAACGGAGCATCCTCAACTGTATCATGAATCAGAAATATATAAACGTCTCCAAGGAGGAGGTTTGTCTCTCTCTTTATGTATTATATATATATTTGGATAGTTTGTGTTGATTCTTTTACATATTATCTGATATTGTGTTTGTTTAAGTTTAATGCAGTAGGAATACCAAGCCTCAAGTGGTTTGGAGTTGAAAGGGGGCACAATATAATGGTTATTGAGCTTCTTGGGCCAAACCTCCAAGAAATTTTGGACAGATGTGGTGGAAAGTTCAGCTTGAAGACAGTTTTAATGCTTGCAAATCAACTAGTAAGTTGTGAAAGTTAAGCATGGCATGGCATGAAAGAATTGGTTGTATTGTGTTTCGGTCTCTTCTTGTGGAAATAGACATAAATGCCCTCCTCATCTCCACTATTGAAAATAGCCCTAGAAATTTTGTTAAGTCCTGTGTAACAAATGCAGCATCATTTGAATTCTGAATCATATTTATGCCAACTTTTGCAGATAGAAGCAGTGGAGTGTATGCATGATAAGGGTGTTATTCACCGTGATATAAAGCCTGAAAATTTGTTAATGGGTTTGGGGAGCAATGTTTGTCAGGTAGCTGTTCAATTATGTAAATATCTTATCATTGTTCCCTTTAGCATGTGGGTTTGTTTTTTTGATGAAAAAAAAGCATATAAGCCATTGTTGCACGACCAATTTCATACCACAATTTGTGCAAAAATTGCTGGTAGTTCATATAGCCTCATGTTTTAGCTTGTATTAGAATGCTTGATTTCAGAGTAATTGGTGCATGATATATTGTGTTAGATGAAATTATAAATTGAATTTAATGTATGGTCGCAAGAATATCTATATTGGAGTGATATTACGATAAATTAACGGTTCATATGGCAGGTGTACATTACAGATTTTGGCCTTGCAAAACTTTATATAGATCCTGAGACAGATGAACACATATCATATAGGTATTTTGTAAGTCCTATTTATTCTTGATTAAAAGATTGGGTTAAATGAAAGAAATAGCAATTTGATTTTCTTATTATAACATCTTTATGACATATCTTCTTGTGCTTTGAAAATTCTAATTACAAAAATGCCTTGGAATACAAGGCTTTTTACATTGCTTTAATAGAGTAAAAATTTCAAAGTTTAGTACTCTATCAAGAAAAAAATGTAAGGCGAATGCTATAAATAGGCGTATAATACCTTAATAAGACAAAAAAATGGAAGTAGAGTGTTGTGATGGAAAGAAATGAAAGTAGGATGGAGAAAGTAAGCTGCTATTTCTTGCATATATAAGTTTTTAACCATGGGTCAAACAGTTTAAAACTGTAAAACTTGACCAAAATGTATTCAAGTGTTTTGAAGTCGCTTTCTATTTATAGTTTTTGTAGGCAAGTTTGTACACATTTTCAATTGTAGCCATTTTAATTTTTTGCAGGGAACATAAAAGTTTCGTAGGCACTCATCGCTATGCGAGTCTGTATACACACTGTGGTGTCGGTGAGCTGTTCATCTTATTAGTTTTTAATTTTTATTTTTTATAAAAAGTTTTTAATGAGAATTTGATGCTTTTTATATATGACCTTGCAGAACAAAGTAGACGCGTTGATATGGAGTCTCTTGGTTATGTTCTTGTGTATTTTCTAAAAGGAAGGTTAGAGCAGATAAAGTCTTTTGATGGTTTTGTTTATTGTAATTTTGGTTGTGTGGTCTAATTGTGTCCATGGCTTAAGCCTTCCATGGCAGGGAATAAGTGCAGGAAGCAACGAAGAGGAGTTAAATCATAAACTAATGATTAAGAAGTTTAACACTAAACCTGAGGTAATGATGGCTCTTCTGTTTCAACAACATAAACAAAATAAAGAAGTATGATATTGAATTTTTAATCAGGAAAGAAAGCTGCAAGACAAGTTTTTTAAAGATTTATTGATAAATAACAAAAGGGCACAAGTCCTTTTATTTTTGTAACAGACTAGAGTTTAGAATGGAATTAGGACACATGTAATTGAATGAATGAATGAATGAATGATCTAAAGATTCAAAGTTATGGAAATTTAAAGATTCTAAGTTATGGAAATATCAAATGGCTTTTTTAGAAAGAGGAACAAACTATAGCATTTCCCCATAAATAATATATAAAAGATATTGTTATAATTGGTAGAAGTATGCAAGGATCTCCTAATAGTAATTGGTCGGTTTATTTCTTAGTTATTTGAAAATCAGAATTTGGCTACTTGTGTACAGTATAACTAATAATCTAGCATTTAACTAAATTCTATTTGTGACTGAATTTTGTTAAACAGGAGCTATGTGAATCATGTCCATCGGAGTTTGCAGCATGGGTCAAGTGTATGCGACTTACACTCTTCAGTGAAATGCCCTCCTATATTTATTTAAAGGCTATTACCCAGCGACTCTTTAAGTCTAAAGGTTAAACCTCATAATCCAATTTTATAAACTTTAATCCATAAATGCCTTTCAGTTCTTATTCTCATATAATAATATTTATAATTGCAGGCTATAAGTTCGATTATGTATATGATTGGACTATATCTCCAAAGGACAAGTTAGTAAAAAACCGTTTGTTTTTATTTTTATTTTTATTTTTTATTATCAATATCACAAGCAAATTTTTTGCTTTGTTTTTGCAGCATCAAGTTGGGAGCATCAGCTCAAAAGCCAATAAGAATTTTGGGTATCCTTTATAAATGATCTACAAATGCTCTAAGAAAATATTTCAATTTAGAGCAAATGTTGAAAAGCACAACCTATTAGTATTACCAAAAAAAACCATTATAGTAATTTTGACCCTCTCATAACAAAAACCCCAAAATTAAACACAAAACTTTGTAAAGCCTCCTCCCAATATTGGAAAAAAATCCCTCTTAAAGGCCTCTTATAATGACAACCTATTATAGGGCTAACGAGTAATAATATCTTTTTTCGTGCAGCTACTCAAGATATCCATGATACACTAGAAGCGTTTTCCAGAACCAGGATTTCCGATGATGTACCTTCATCAAAAGATGTGGTAAATTTATCTCTTTTCAACACTCTAGAAACAGAATCTTTTACGAATATAGCATTGACCTGATGAATTTTTTATCCACAGCAACCCGATCCTGAAAATGAAAATCCTTGGCAGAATGCTAGCGGACGGCGAAGGCAAAGGCAAAGGTAAAGGCACCACGAGTCGAGCGGTGGTGGACATGGAGTTGCTATGTTTGGGAAGTCAAAGAATCATAATTTTATTTAAGGAAATTATTATTTTGTAGAATTTTCCATGTTTTTGATGTTGCGTATCTTGTAACAATGGTGATATATAAGAAACTAGGTGTGAGACCTATGTATTAAATGAGTTTATTTAAAAGAAAAAAATTAAATATGAAATTCTAAACATTTGAAAAGTTTGAATTTATAAGAAATTAAAAAAAAAGTATATTGAATTATTAAAATTGAAGTGTTTTTTCTCTTTTAAATATAAACAAATAATTTAAACAAATAAACAAAAGATACTAATGAAACTTTAATTTGTAATTTTGAAATTAGAAGGAAAGTCCATTAATAAAGTTGATATGCATTTATCATTATTTATTACATATAAATACTATGTGGAATTTAATAAAATGGAAAAACCATAAAATGACATGGAAAAAAATGAAAATAATAAGAAAAAAAACATGTGTCATAATGCATTAGAAGATGACAAATGAAAAAATCATTTTTATTTATTAGGGAGGATTGATAATGACTGTTGGCTTTTTGATATGTTTAAGGTTTATAAACATTTTATGTGTGTAGTTTGCATAACATAGCGTAAGTGGAATTTCAGGAAAAAAAAAGCATAACCAAAAAACAACATTATTATTAAGTAGCTGTAACCTTCACACAAAAATCATCCAGTAGACTCCTCTATTTTATTAACCTATACACATAATCTTGATTCCAATCATCTTTTCTTCTGCTAAGGCATCGAATCTGCCATTGGAAACTCCAAATTTGATTTCTTTTAATTTTGATCCCCATTATAACAGTTAGGATTTTTAACGGGAATGTTTAGTTACTGCAAACTTCCATATTCATACCGAAATAACCTAATTAGAGACCAAACAACTTCAATCTAATATCTTTTGAACCACTTTACTCAGAGTTCTTCAATAATCTCATAACCAAATCCCTTGGTTATGACTAATATTCACCAAATTCCAAACTTCAATTTGGAACTTACATTCAAAAAATAGATGGCAATGAGAGTCCACCTGGTCTTTACTTTACAGTAAGCACATTTTATATCATTAGAAGCCTTCCATTTTTTTTCATGGGAAAATTTGTGAAATGACCAAAAAAAGGTAGTGTTTGAAAAAAAAAATGACCAAGAAAATAGAACATTCATAAAATGTCCACGATTTCTATAGAGAGGGTCTCTGTGGAACTTGTTAACCTCTGAGTAAGAGGAAAATCTTTGAGTAGATGACATGGTAGGGATAAAGTTGTAAAAACACAAAAAAAAATAATTAAGCAAATTGATAGTGTATGCGGATTTGAAGAGGGAGGGCTGCGGATGAAACTGTTGGATTAGGTGTCTAAGCCCATAACTATAATTGGTATGTACTTGAATTGATAGCAGCACAGTCCTTTTGGGTTGCCTTCAACCTAGCAACTGGACAAGGAAATTATGAAAGGAGAGATATTAATTTATAAGATTAATGAATTAATATAATTGATTTATTAATATGTTAAAAGATTAATATATTAATTAGAAATCATTATGTTTAATTAATAGTTAGCCAGAAATTAATCAGAATTAATTTTGGGGTTAAAAGAATTAATTATAAAGTGCAGGGACTAGTTTGCAATTAACTAATAGTTGAGTGGAAGGTTCCAGAACCCCCTTGGAAGGAGGTGGACGAAATTCTTAGGGGAAACCCTAGAGATTTCGTCCAAGGGGTCCAAATAAGGCCTTTGGATCTTGCTTAGGCCCTAAGCAAAGGATAACTAGGGTTTTCCCTAAACCCTAGATCCCTCAGCTATTTAAGGAGCCTCCTGGCTCACATTTGAGGTCACTGATTTCTTTGGAAGAAACCCTAAGGCCGAAATTGCATACTCTCTCCATCCTCTCTCCTCCAAGTTTCCTTCTTGCTAGTTCTTGGGTGTGATTCCATTAGAGGCATTACATTTGTGGTGCTAAGCTTCCAAGAAGATCAAGATCAAGATCAAGAGGATTATCAATTGTTTGCTATAACAATTGAAAGGTATGTAACTCCTAAACCCTAGTTTGTTAATTTCGAAATTAGCCTCTCTCCTCTAGGGTTCTTGTTTTGCAATTCAAAGTTATATGTTCAATAGTTAAAACATAGATCCAAAGTAGGTTGCATGTGAACTTAGGAATTGTTTTCTAGTTTATTTGTTTTACCTAAAACCCTCAGTGGTATCAGAGCCATTGTTTGTTTTAAATTGAATTGCTATAATTGTTGAATTGCAAATTAGGGTTTATAGCTATTAAACCCTAAAGGCCAAATTTTCGATTTCTAGGGTTTTGGATAAAAGGGTTTTTTTGAAAACCCTAGCCTCCAAAGAACCCTAATCGAAATTAGGGTTAGGGTTTTGAAAACCCTAGCCTCCTCCCTTGTAAATTTCGAAATTGCTAGAAGTTTTAGGGTTTCTTGTTTTGGATAATTGTTACTTAATTAGATTAATTGGATAATTATCCTTACCCTATTTTTCGAAATTTAGAGGGATAAGGATTAGGATTAAATTAATTGATTAATTTAATTAGATAATCCTTACAAGATTTAATAATTTGATTAATAGTTAATTAAAAGATAAATATTAAATCTAGTTAATTGGTTTATTTAAATTTAAATTTAATAGTTTGAATTTCGAAATTTATATAAACCCTTGAAGTTTTAAAATGTTTTAAAACACACCCTATATATATGTATTATGATTAAAAGTTTAATATTATATATGTATAAGAATATGGTCAGTCAAATCGCTAGTATGCCTCATTCACGAAGCTAATCTATAAGGGGGTATAAGGAAACTGCCTATAAAATGGTAGTTGAATGGGTGTCCACTCTCACCCACCGCTTCCTTGATTAGTGGAGGGTCGTTAGCAGAACGGATTTGATAGGACAACTACTTCTCATTAAAAGTATAATGACATTAAAGAAAGTACTAGAACATTATTTTTAAAATCTCAACTCTAGTTACTTTAGGAAAAATGTGAAAAGTATGCTAATCCATGAAATTGCACATTATGCTTTATTGGTCGTTAGTGGAGCGTGTGTGGTTAACCAGCACACTAAAGGGCACTAATAAAGAGTAGTAATGGGTATCTCATAATTGTCATTTGGATGGAGCGTGTGTGGTTTACCAGCACATCAATAGTTAATGATAAAGACAATGAGGTTACCAAGCACATTTGCATGGTTATTCACATCTTGTTTGTGATCCTCGGCATCCCAGTCACAAATAGAAGAGCATAATCTGAGATTAAAACATGTCATTGAATAGTTTCAATGTATCTCAAAAGAATTAGGAATTTCACTTCGTTTGTTTCGTCTAATGGTGGAATTGGTGAATCGTCATTCACCTACCTTTATGAAATTTACACTTGGATCTCGGCATCCCATTTCTAAGTTGTGAATCTTCATAGTTGGATCCTAACCTTGATATTTTATCTTTGGGTTATTATATTGAGGTATCTTGAAATCTAACTAAAACTTTCTTTCTTTTCAGATGTCTACTCCTGGAAACACTTCTGCTTCATCCTCCTCCAACCAGAACTTCTCTTTGCTCAATATCTGCTCCAAAGTCGTTATGGATGGCTCAAACTATAACGATTGGATGCGCAACATCAAGATGGCTCTTCGTTTTGAGAACAAAGAATATGTTCTTGAAAAGGAGCTCAAAGAGCTTGATGAGTCTGAAGCTACTCCTGAAGATCTTGCTGCCTACAAGAAACATTACGATGATGCTACCAAAGTGGCGTGCATCATGGTGGCAACCATGTCCCCAGAACTGCAGAGGTACTATGAGGACTACTGGCCTTTTGAGATGAACAAGGACCTTATGGAAAAGAACCATAAGCGAGCTCGTCAAGAAAAGTTTGAAGTAGTCAAGTCACTCATGGCTTGCAAGATGAAAGAAGGGGAATCGGTTGTGTCACATGTGCAAAGAATGCAACGCTACATAGAGCGTTTGGTCAAGCTCAACATTCACTTTGATGAGGAATTGGCCATTGACATGGTCTTGAACTCACTACCTGATTGTTATGGTCAGTTTATTCTAACTTACCATTTGAACAATACTGAGCAGACCTTGGCCCAATTGCACAACTTGTTGCAGACAGCCGAGGCAGGAATGAAGGGTAAAAGTATACCCTCCACGCCTACAAGTGCCCCTGTGTTGGCTATTGGACAGGGAAAGGGGAAAAAGAGGAAAGGTCCTCCCAAGCAAAACTGGAAGAGCAAGGCTCAAGCTGGGTCGTCTAGTAATGGCCCAAAGGCTAAGCCCAATGGTTCCACTCCCCATGTTTCTGATCCAAAAGAGGTCGTTTGCTTTTACTGCAATCAAAAGGGGCATTGGAAGAGATCTTGCCCACAATATCTGCAAGATATCAAGGATGGCAAAGTGAAGCCATCTTCGGCAGGTATTTACACTATTTCTGCTAATAACTCATTATCTTCTCGTTCATGGGTCCTTGATACAGGATGTGGTTTTCATATCTGTTCTGATTTGCAGGGACTAAAGGAAAGTGAGGAAATAGAGCGAGGAAGGATAAACTTGATCATGGGAAACAGAAAGTCTTCACTAGTGACCAAGATCGGAGTTTATCAGCTTCTGCTTAGCAATGATGTTAGATTAGATTTAATAAATTGTTGCTATTCGTCTGAGATGACGAGAAACATTATTTCATTTCATGCATTGTTCAGACAAGGTTTCAAATATTCTTTTAATGATTTGAATGGTTCAATTTCTGTTTATAAGAATGGTGTTTTTATGTTTGAAGCTTTACCTTGTGATGGTGTGTATGAAACAGTGACTTGTGTTGATAGCTTAGGAAATAGTGTACTTAATATTGACTTGTCTAATAGTGTAGACAAGGCATGCTTGTGGCATTGTCGTCTTGGACACATTAACAAGAAACGCATAGCCCAACTCCAAAAGGATGGAGTGTTGGATTCATTTGACCTAAAATCAGATGATATGTGTGAATCTTGTCTTTTGGGAAAGATGACAAAATCACCATTCACAGGGTCTTGTGAAAGAGGTGAAGGTCTGTTGGATCTCATACACACAATGTGTGTGGGCCCTTCAGATCAACTACAAGAGATGCTAATCGATTCTATGTGACTTTCACTGACGATTATAGCAGATATGGATATATCTACTTGATCAAGCATAAGTCAGAAACTTTTGAAAAGTTCAAAGAGTTTAAGCATGAAGTCGAAAATCAATTGGGCAGAAAGATAAAGATACTTAGATCCGATAGAGGCGGGGAGTATCTTAGTATCGATTTTAATGACTATCTGAAAGAATGTGGGATAGTCTCACAATTGACTCCTCCTAGGACACCACAGTTAAATGGTGTAGCTGAGAGGCGTAATCGAACCTTGTTAGACATGGTTCGTTCTATGATGAGTCGGGCTTCGCTTCCCATTCACTTCTGGGGGTATGCCTTAGAGACAGCCGCCCACATCCTCAATCTTGTCCCTACAAAGAAGGTTGCCAAAACACCTCACGAAATGTGGACAGGGAAAGTTCCCTCGTTAGCACATATTAAAGTCTGGGGTTGTGAAGCTTTCGTAAGACGAGAGACTCACGACAAGCTAGCAGCTAGAAGTGAGAAATGTGTTTTCATTGGTTACCCAAAGCAGTCTTTTGGATATTTGTTCTACAGGCCTAGTGAGAATGTGGTCTTTGTAGCACGAAGAGGAGTCTTTCTTGAAAGAGAGCTCATATTCAAAGAGGACAGTGGGAGCACTATTGACCTTGAAGAAATTCAAAAGTCAGCCAATGAAGGAACCTTAGATGACACTAGCACTCAACCAGAGGAAACAGTTCCTGTTGAACCAATCGATAACTCATTACCTCTTAGAAGATCCACTAGGGTGAGTGCGCCACCTGAGTTGTATGGTTTTCATATTACTTCAGATGGTGACACATTCATAAGTGACAGAACACTGGTAAACTTAGATGAACCAGTCACTTATAAGGAAGCAATGGCAGGCCCAGAGGCTTCCAAGTGGAAAGAGGCAATGGACAGCGAGATTAAGTCCATGTATGACAACCAAGTTTGGAATTTGGTTGATAGTGCACCAGGTCGTAAGACAGTTGGGTGCAAATGGATCTTCAAGAAGAAGACAGACATGGATGGAAATGTGCACATATTCAAGGCTCGACTGGTTGCAAAAGGTTTCACTCAAACCCCAGGGGTTGACTATGATGAGACCTTCTCGCCAGTGGCTAAGATTAAATCTATTAGGATATTGCTCGCCATAGCTGCCTTTCATGATTATGAAATCTGGCAGATGGATGTCAAAACTGCTTTCCTTAATGGGAAGTTGGCTGAAGATGTTTACATGAGTCAGCCAGAGGGTTTTGTTGGTGCAAAGTTCCCCAATAGAGTGTGCAAGCTTGAGAAATCCATTTATGGATTGAAACAAGCATCTCGCAGTTGGAATCTTTGCTTCCATGAGAAAGTCAAAGAGTTTGGTTTATCTAGAAGTGAAGATGAGTTCTGTGTGTATATCAAGGCTAGTGGGAGTATAGTAACTTTTCTGGTGTTGTATGTCGATGACATATTACTCATTGGTAACGACGTTCCAACCTTGAAAGAAGTTAAGTCTTGGCTTGGAAAGTGTTTTGCCATGAAAGACCTTGGAGAAGCTGCCTATATTCTTGGGATTAGAATATTGAGAGATAGAAAGAAGAGACTAATTGGACTTAGTCAGAGCACATACTTGGATAAGGTACTAAAGAGGTTTAGTATGGAAAATTCCAAGAAGGGAGAGCTACCTATCCAGAGCAATACCAAATTGAGTAAGACTCAATGCCCGAGTACAAATGTTGAAATAGATGACATGAGTCGTGTACCTTATGCTTCCGCTGTCAGATCGATCATGTACGCTATGACATGTACTCGCCCTGATGTGGCATTTGCTTTGAGCATGGTCAGTCGCTATCAGGGAAACCCAGGTAGAGCTCATTGGATAGCAGTTAAGAATATACTCAAGTATTTGCGAAGGACAAAGGACTGGGTCCTTGTACTTGGTGGCAATGATACTTTGAGAGTAGATGGTTACAGTGATGCCAGCTCCATTTGTTCCAGTTCGTCTTCCCCAGACTCCATTTGCTCCCGTTTCTTTCATACACAGCTCCTAGGCGATCTGCAATTTCTTCGGCGACTCCCACTGCTCTCCACCGCTGATTGGGCTCCAAACTCTTCTCCCACCGCCGATTGGCTTCCAAAACCGAGTCCCACCAGCAGTATAACCTCCACAGCGACTGCCGCCTCCAATTGCCGACGGGACCTTCGATTTCGTGCTCATATCTCCGGCGAGGTTAGTTTTCAGGACCCAATTCTGTTTGCATTCTTCTGTTAACACACATTAACACCACCGATTCCTATTTGAAGTGATTTGTTTTTTTTTTCGTTCCAGCACCTTCACCACGACTGCATCTTCACCACCGTCTAGCTTTCTTTTGTCCGGGCAAAAACAGGTTAGTTTGATCTATTTCACTTGATGGAAACTGTGAAATTGTTTATTTTTTTTTTTTAGTGTGAACTGTGAAATTGTGATATGTAATTATTTTGAAGCTGTGAAATTGTTTATGAAGCCGTGAAATTGATTATTTTGAAGCTGTGAAATTGTTTATGAAGCTGTGAAATTGATTTTGAGTGTGAAATTGATTTTGAGTGTGAACTGTGAAATTGTGAAATTGATTATTTTGATTTCTTTCAATTGATGGAAGCTGTGAAATTTTTTATTTTTTTTTATTTCTTTCAAATTGTTTGAATGTATGTTTCACTTGATTTTGACAGTGAAATTCATGAAACTGTGAAATTGATGGAAACTGTGAAATTGATTATTTTGATTTGTTTCACTTGTTTGAATGTATGTTTCACTTGTTTGTAACTGTTAACTTTGTGTGAATGTATATGAAACTGTGAAATTGAATGTATATGTAAAATTGATTGAAACTATTAACTGTGAAATTATTTCTTTCAATTGTTTGAATGTATGTTTCCCCGTTTTGGGACTGCTTTTTGAATACCTTATCTCATTTGATTGAGATACTTTCCTGTTGCCTGGTTTTCTATTCCATCTGATTGAGCGGTTACTCTATCCTTATAAATATTCAATCCAAATTCTACTTCTTGTAGAGTAAACACTAAAACCTAACTTATGTTTCAGTTGCAACATGTCTATTGATAAAACGTGGACTACTATTGAAAACCGTAACTCTACCTTGTTCCAACAAGGACTTGAATCTTTTCTCGAGAGGTCCAAACCACATGTCGATAACAAAGGTCAAATTAGATGCACGTGTAACAAATGTAATGTCAATAAATTTATACTACTAGTCATAATGAAATTCCATATACTTCAACATGGTTTTAGTCCACATTATATTATATGGAAGTATCACGGCGAAAATACAACTCACCCGGTTGTCGAAGACATACTGCAACGAAGGGAACCCAGATACAGACGGTAGCGGTGTTGATGATGGATTTCAAAAGCTGTTAGAGGAAGTCCAATTCAAATTATATCCTGGATGTTCGTTTTCGTCCCTTGACTTTTTAGCAAAGTTGATGCATATCAAGGTGATCAACAAATGGACTGATAGTTCATTCGATCAGCTTCTTGAGTTGTTGCAAACTGCATTTCCTGAAGGAAACAGGGTCCCCCCGTCACATTACGAAGTAAAAAAGACACTTAAAAAGATCGGCTTAGGTTATGAGTCAATACACGTATGTAAAAATGACTGCTTTCTTTTCTGGAAAGAACACGAGTAGTTGCAAAAATGTCCAGTTTGTAATGAGAGTCGGTGGGTTGATGAAAATACAAAGGGTAAGAAGGTGGCTCATAAGGTTTTACGATACTTTCCCGTGACCCCCAGACTACAACGTTTGTACTGTTCAAGACACACAGCTAAAGATATGATTTGGCATAGTACCGGACAATCCAAAGATGGTACGATGATTCATCCCGTTGATGGTACTTCATGGAAAAAATTTGATATGAAGTATCCTGACTTCTCGAGGGAACCCCGAAACGTACGCTTAGGGCTTGCTGCTGATGGTTTTAATCCGTTTGGTAACATGTGTAATCCTCAGAGCACGTGGCCTGTCATACTCACCACTTACAATCTTCCACCATGGCTATGCATGAAAGAGTCATCTTTCATGTTGACCTTGTTGATTCCTGGCCCCAAAGCACCCGGGAAGGACTTGGATGTGTTCCTTAGGCCGTTGGTGGATGATTTGAAGCAGTTTTGGAGTTTTGGAGTACGTACTAAAGATGCAGCGACATATACATTCTTCAATATGAAAGCGATGTTGTTATGGACAATAAACGACTTTCCCGCTCGTAGTAGTTTATCCGGTTGGAGCGGACAAGGGTACAAAGCTTGTCCTACTTGCAACGAAGACACACCGTCATACCGAGTATCAAATAAAGTCGTATATGTTGGTCATCGCCGGTTCTTAGATGCTGACCATCCATGGAGAAAAAGTTTGGACTATAATGGTGAACATGAGACAAGAGGTCCTCCAAGACAGTTTAGTGAGGAAGAAATACAAGCGCAACACGCTCGTCTATTGTTTCGTCCACCGGGTAAAGTAGCTGCTCAACGAGCTGGTATTAAGAGAGATCGCAAGGATTTCGAGTTGAATTGGTCTAAAAAGAGCATATTCTTTGAACTTGAGTATTGGTCTTCTCTGGAGCTGAAGCACAACTTCGATCTTATGCATGTTGAGAAAAATGTGGGTGAGAGTCTTGTGGGTACTTCTCTGATGAATGATAAGTCTAAAGACACATCAAATGCTCGGGCGGACTTGACAAAACTGAACATTCGGAAAAATCTATGGTTGAAAAAGAGTGGCAACAAGTTCCATAAACCCCATCCACCTTACTCGTTCACGAAACCTGACCGCATTCGTTTTTGTAAGTTTATAAGAAATGTGAAACTGCCAGATGGGTTTGGATCTAACATCGGTAAGAAAGTGAATAAAACCAATACTAACATTATTGGGTTGAAATCTCATGATTATCACATTCTTATACAACGTTTGTTACCCATTGGAGTTAAAGGTCTTTTGGGGAAAGGTGTTTATACACCAATAATAGAGCTTTGTATGTTTTTTAAGCAACTTTGCTCAAGAACATTGTCGGTGAAGGATATGAAAGAAGCGAAACCAGCCATTATTAAAATATTGTGCAAATTAGAAGTGATCTATCCTCCTGCGTTTTTTGACATTATGGTTCATTTAGTTTTGCATTTACCTGATGAAGCTATTTCTGGAGGCCCAGTATGTATGAGATGGATGTATCCCTTTGAGAGGTATATGAAAAAACTAAAAAACTATGTTAGAAACAAGGCGAGGTCGGAAGGTTCTATAGCTGAGGGTTATGTCGCTGAAGAGGCATTATCATTTTGTTCGATGTACCTTGAAGATGTTGAGACTCGATTCAATCGCCTCGAAAGAAACGAGGATGTTGTCATAGAAGAAACAAAGTTATGGGTGTTTCAGTCTAAGTGTCGATCGACTAGCGCAAAGAAAATGAAAAATCTCAGTCTAGAGGAGAGAAAACGTCTACATTGGTTTGTGCTTGATAATTGTGAGGAAGTCAGAAAGTATATTGCGTAAGTGTTCTTATCTTTTAATTCATTGTCTTTTTTTAATTTCTCATTTTTACTAAATATATATATTTTTTTTCATCAATGTAGTGAATTCAAATCATTACATCCTGAAAGTGATGAAAAACCGAATTCCCTAAATGGTTCCTTCATAAGGCCTATGATATGCAAAAACAAAAATCTCCAGAGTTTAATAAGGAGTTATCGGCTCTTTCAACCGGTGCGCATGCGAATGCCTTTACTTACACCGCTTGCATAGTGAATGGTGTTAGGTTTATGGTACGTATGCATGACGCCCAACGATCAACACAAAACTCGGGGGTTCTAACTGAGGGAGAGAATAAGCAGAAATATTATGGTCAGCTAGAAGAGATTATCGAGTTGCATTATCCTCATAAATATTCCATCGTACTTTTTCGTTGCAAGTGGTTCGATACTGCAGGAGTTAAATCTAATAATAATTTCACCAGTATCGACCTACAACGCGAATTGAGCAGCGAAGATCAAATCATATTTGCTACGCAGGCCAAACAAATATTTTATATCCAAGAACCTTCTCCAAGTGACGAAAATGACACCCAACGGTGGGTTGTTGAAAATGTTAATCATAGAAGAATTTGGGATCTACCGATGAATGATGTTGATCATGATCTCATTGAAAATGTCGAGAATGATTCAACCGATGTCGTTCTTAGTAATGCTTCTTCTAATTTCACTCTCTCAATTGACTTTAGCCAGTCCTTTCAAAATTCTCAATCGGTTGAAGATGATATTGAAGTTGACCCACCGACGAGTATCATCAATAATGTGTCTGATTGCGAGACTGATTATGATGAGGAAGATTCTGATTATGATAGTAATGTATCGGCAGACACAAGTGTATAGGGGCGAGAATGATTAAAAAAATCTTTTTGCATTTAATTAGTAAAATAAGGTTTGTATTTGTTGTAATCATATTATATATATATATATATATATATATATATATATATATATATATATATATATATATATATAATTCATATTGTGTTATAATTTTTCAGGATGTCATTTTTTTGGATTGCATTGCTCCATCTCATGGCTGCTGTGATGGGTCATGGAGGCGACGGTGGTGACGAGCCACCACATCCGTTCGGTGGAGGTTTTGGTGATCACCAAAACGATGGTAATTAAGATTTATTCTAATTCATTGTATTTCATATTGTATGTATATAAAAAATTATTCTGACTAATATTTTTTTATGCAGTGGTGCCTCCGAAACGAAGAGGCATGGCGGTAAATAAAAAAATGTACAAACTCTTTAAAGCTAACGGTGAACGGCCTCTTAAGATAGTATTCGACATAAATACTAACATGCCGATTGGGGAGGTGTACGAATGTTTCATTCGGGAGGTTGGGAGCTATATGTGGCGGGACATCGGTTTTGATAAAGACACATGGACAGAGGTTTCTGAAGCCGAAAGGGTTGGAATGTTGCAGTATCTTTCGGTAAATTATTTATAAAGTTATATATTTAATATTTTTTAATTTTGATTTATTTTTAATTTCTCTATTTTTTGTAGAGATGGTTTGATTTTGACGCGATTACAAATCATCCCATGGCTTCAACTTATTGGGCGTCACTGAACAATCGGATATGTGCGCGGTATAGAGGCGGCAAAAATATTGCAAAAAACCGTTTTTCTGATTTTGCAGCGAATGTGGAGGCAGCAAGGGCTCAAGCCCCTACGGGTATGAATCGGCAGCGTTGGAATGCTGCTATTGACCATTTCTTAACAGAAAAACATAAAAAACGATCCGCTGGAAATAAAGAATGCCGGAAAAAGCAAGTAGTGAAGAATCGTGGAGGGACGTGCAGCTACGGTAGTGCTTGTTTCAAGAAAGTAAGTTACAATAATGTTTATTCAGTTATAACATATTTTTTAATGTTTATTCAAATATAACATATTTTGTAATGTTAAACAGAATTTGAATAGACTTGAAGTATTTCATCATGCACATGTAAATAAAAGAGGGGAATTTGTTGATCCTTTGGTTGAAGAGCAATATGTAAGCTATTATTACTTAAAAATGAAGTAGATTGTTGATTTTTTTTTTGTTAGTTTTAACGTATATTAACAATCTTTGTGAAATACAGAATGCCTTAGTTGCTGAGGTTGCTCTACAGACTCATCACATAGCCGACTCTGGTGGTGATCCAGACACCATTGATTGGATCGCAATATTTGAGAAGGTGTTGGGTACTCGAAGGGGGCATGTGAGAGGCATTGGGCCTAAAGCTTCTTCAGCTGCGGGTACAAGTGCTCCATCCCAATGGCAGTCACAGTCACAAGCATCGCAACCAATACAGGTACTTGTTAAATTCTTAAAGACTTAATTGATTTAGCCGTTTAATAGTTTGGTAAATTGTTAACGACTTAATTCATTTGGTGCTTTGATGGTTTGATAGTTTGTTGAATTGTTCATGACTTAATGTGTTTGTGACTTAATTGTAGGATGTTGATGTGAATGCTTTTCTTCAAAACCCGGCATTTGTGACGGCCATTGGAGACATTATTCGCTCGTTTAAAAACCAAGTCAACGAGGAAAACAACGATGGGGAGGACGATGGGGAAGACGAAGACAACTAGTATTTCTTGTTTTATGATATGGAGGATGTTATTTTGGATTTGGAAAATAGTTTATGTATGATATATATTAGATGTTTTTTTTGAGATTTATTAGATATTTTATGGAATATGGTATGTTTGATGTTTTTATATAATGTGGTATGTATTTATTTATGTATTTTTATCAAAACTGCATTTTGTAATATATATAAATTAATATTATAAAAAATATGTTTTTTTTCAAAAAAAAAATTAAAAAAAAAAAAAACATTAGCGGCGACGCCTTTAGGGACAACTACGATCAATTGCGACGACGCAGACCTCCGGGGAGATTCGCCAGAAATACTCCGGCCGGTAGCCGGAACATTAATAGAGACGTCGTTTTTTGCGACGACAGTGGTGTATTAGCGACGACATGTATTAGAGACGACAATATTAGAGACGACAGGGGGCCATTAGCTACGAGCCAATTGCGGCGATGCTTAAGCGACGACATGTCGTCGCTAATACCTTTAGCGACCACAGGCGTAATCAATTGCGACGATTTTTGTCGCCGCTAAAAGTTAGTTTTTTTGTAGTGATATATATATATATATATATATATATATATATATATATATATATATATATATATATATATATATATATATATATATATAGGGTGAGGTTCAATAGAGAACCATAACTAACCACGGAACCAAGGAACCAATCTTTTTTTCAACTTTTAGAACTTATTTTTCATCAAAAAAAAAAAAAAACTAAAAATACAGAAATTCATAACTTTTTATCCTTTTTCCAATGATATCAAATTCGAATTTTTTTTTTACGTCAAATTCACAATGTGAATCTTTGAAAATTCACAATGTGAATCCGGATTCACACGGTGAATCCGAAAAATATTTTTCACATTCACAATGTTAATATATGAATTTAGATATTTTTAGATTTTTTTTCAATAAAGAATAAGCTTTAGAATTTGAAAAAAAGATTTGGTTCCTCGAAGAACCAATAATTATGGTTCTCTATTGAACTTCTATATATATATATAATGAATGGTTATATAATCCTTATATTTTGAGAAAAACACGAGCCAACATATCTTGCATTAAACTATATAATAATGTTTTGAAGCCGAAAAATATTTTATGTTACGTAACGATTTAATTACAAGCTTACAACAAAATTACATCAATATATAAATAAAATACAAACTATGGAAAACTCTGATGACAGTTAATGTGAAATTCTTGATAATTATAATAGACTCTTGATAAAAGTCATGATCTTTGTTAAAATATTAAATATATTTTTAAATTTTTGATAACAACGCATATTTATATTTATAAGAGAATTTTATTTATATAATATTTTTTGTAATTTTTTTTAACACAAAAACAATAAAAAGAGTTTTGTCATGATAAAAAGTCACCAGCTTTCTTTAAATGCTAAATATTTCATAGTTAATTTTAAACAGTATTATTATTTTTGATTTAGTTTTGTTATTTTCTCAATCCATTACATTTTCTATTTACCGTTAAAAAACATATTTCCAGTTAGACAACTTAAAAAATGAAACCCATTCCTTATGGGTATCGATCATCTCCGGAATTCATAAACTGATGGGAGAGTCTAACCGTTTGTGCGCTAAAAACCCTTGGAGTAGTGTATGGAATAATATAGTAAAAAGCAGGAAAAAGTTGGAGAAGATCAATATTTCTTTCGATGAAGTAATGCGTTATGAGGAGAACAATGGTACTTGGGTATCTTCCTTTGTTATTGATGGAGAGTTCTGCATAGCTGCCCTTCAGGATAGAATTGAAAGGGCTTCCTACCCAGTCTGTGACGGGAACTTCCCATGGCTTCGTTTGATCTAAAAAAAGTTCTGGGCTTTGTTTGGAGAGCGAAGCTAAATCGAATTCCTTCAGCGGTGGCACTCAAAAACAGAGGAATTGATTTAGCGTCAACGATTTGTGATGTATGTAAAGCATCGGATGAAACTGGTGATCATATCCTTGTTTCATGCACAATGGTGAGGTCAGTATTACAATCTATTCTTCATTGGTCTGGTCTCCCGGAGAATGAATTCCAGTCAGTATTGAACATCATCGATTATGCTTCCAATTGGGGTAACTGCCCCAAAAAGAAGGGCATTCTAACTGTGATATTATTCGGAGCCTTATGGTTCTTGTGGAAAGCTTGGAATGATCGAGTGTTTCAAAAAGTTGAAGTGAATTCGGAGAGGATAGTGGTCGCTACCAAGTCATTAACGTATGTTTGGGTGAAACATAGAGGAGATAGAGGTAGTATAGACTGGAATTCATGGGTCTTATCCCCTCTTTGTATTTGAATTACTGTATGCAAACATCTTATCTAGCTGCTTGCTAGTAGGAAAAATTTCTTTATTAATTAATAATATTTCCGGTTCAATAAAAAAAAATTAGACAACTTAAAATAAAGTATTTATGTCGTCTTGATCGTATAGACTTATTTAGTGAAAAGAAACTATTTAATATCAGGAATCTTCACAAGAAAAGTCTGAAATTTGTATATCGCCGCCGCATCGCACGGGTATCCTACTAGTATATATATATATATATATATATATATATATAATATATATATATTATATATATATATATATATATATATATATATAGCCGTTTACACGTGCCAAGTGACGGGTGTGAATAAATTTTTTTTTTCAAAAATTAGTTCCTAGGGATGAATATTTCTTTTGCACAAATAGTTGTGTGTTTTATGTTGTTGATAGTGTCGAGATCTTCAAAACATGTAGGGTCACTAATATGTGATAAAAGTATGCGAATGTAGTGTCACTCTCCTTCAGTGACATTACAAGAAACCAAACAACCTTTAATAATAATAATAATAAACTAAATATACATTGCTAGAAATTGGAAAATTAATATCTTGTGTCCCAAAATTCTAGTATTCATTATTGTCGTTCGAAGCATGTTCATAAAAATTTTCAATGCTATAAATTATCAAAACTTTTTAATGCTATAAATTAGCTTTTTTATTTGTATATTTTATATAAACAATAAACTTATCAATATTTGACAATGTCTTACATAACTTCATCAATATTTACCGAGATGTACCATGTCTTACATAACTTCATCAATATTTACCGAGATGTACCATTTACATTAGCGCTTTTTAGTTCACACATTTACTTTGCTGCAAAAACAAAAAACCAATCAATTTGCATCCAAATTGAGAAAACCGGCCTTTTGACTTTATAAATCAAAATTCTCTTTCAAAAGGGACAACATATACAAGCAAACATATAAATGCAGGAACATTCAAGTACACATGAAGATTTCAAACTCACGGTTTATACAAATACATTAGCGAAGTTTTTTAGTTTAACAGTCGTTCAAAACAAATTAGAATCAATAACTCTAAGTTGTATTAGAGAAACTATCTATTTTATTTGAGAGATAAATATCCGGAAAAAAAAAGTAAAAAATAAAAAACAAATTTTTTTTGTAGAATTCCCACACAGCGTTTGTTCCAAGATTTGACCATTTTACCCTTGGGACTTCCGTTAGCTGCTATGAGTTTTAGATCTATATGTATATTGTTTTTTTTTTGGTGTTGGCTTCAAAGTTTTGCGTATTTTCCATGTACATCCCAACCGCCTTGCTTTCTTTTCAACTTATGACCTTTTTGCCCCTAGCTCTAATTGGAAGGTTATATGGGCCTTTTTATATTATTTTTCCTCACTAACACATGTTTTTATCCTACACAAATACAATATCGTTAAATGGAATATCATTTTAACAAAAAACAAAATAGATGAAGAACAACTAAGAAACTAAATGCACCTCCAGGAACCAAGAACCAATTTAGGAGCCTCATCCTACCTTTCAAGCTCCTTTTTATGCACCTTCAATTAAAAACACTAAAATCTACAATTGAAAGGATTAAGTGTTAAATAATTGAATATATCTAATGAATTGCAAAAATACATGTGTATTAGTATAATTTTGTCATTTATCCTTTAACAAATGACTTTCCAAATACCATCCTGAATGGAATTAAATCCAAATACCATCCTGAATGACTTTAACAAATGACTTTCCAAATACCATTCTTGGACATATTGCTGCTCCTAACCTTCAACAATTCCTTGACCTATACAAATATACTATTTCAAAAGTTACTTGACTGCTTCTATATCATCTTTCAAAGCCTAGGCCTACTAACTTCTTTTATGTAGCTGTCAATATACAAAGTTCCACAAAAATTACAAAGAAATCAACACAAAAAAAAATATTAACATTGTTGTAGTTTTTGATGTGTTAAAATATTTGTTGTTATTTGGACGGGTATAGGAAATCACCAATTGGGTCGACAACCTGAAAAAAAAAAAACTTTGATCTAGTCCTAGAATCCCTAAAAATTAGCATGAAACTCGTCTAAAAATCCTAGAATAATTTTTTATTTGCATAATCCATAAGAAAACAATAGAATACACTTTATTATACCTCAACAGGCTGGAAGGTCTACAATTGTAACCATGTCAGTCTCGTCTACTGTGACCTGAGAACAAATAAAAAAGGATGAAAACACTGAATCTTTGTGTAAATATATGTACTTCAGTGGTTGGTAATAAACTATATAAATTTCAGTAAATAATACAATTTATCAGAATGAAGTTCAGGAGAGAAAAAAAAAATCTTATCTTGTTGGGAATCCTCTGTAGTGGAATCCCTGGGTTCATTTTCCAAGATCTGGATATGAAGAGGCTACATAATATCAAATAATCAACCTTCTCTTAAATTCAAATTTAAGGAAGCATTTCTTCGTAAAACCCAATAGTTTGAAAGCATGAATTGTGATCTTAACCTTGGAAACATAAAAATTTCAACTTAGAAATCAACATAAAAAAATAAATGGTATTTCAAAAGAAAATAGAGTAAATGATTAAATAACAAAATGAAAGAATTAGACCAATATGGGCATTCTTGAGGGCAACTATTTTGGAAGAAAAATATGAAAAGGCATACCAGATGGTTCCATTTTGGCAATACAGTCCTTCAAGTTTCCTGTTGCAACATGACATCGTTATTTGTTTATTTAATTGCAGAAATTAATGAAAGACATTACCTTTTCAATCAGACTGAGATCATCAACGTCATTATTTGTTTATTTAATTGTGGTGGTGGCGCTTAGAGCTCTTTTACAGAGAGAGATGGAGGAGTGATGTCGCTGCCTCAAAACATTTCATGTCCAGAGCTCTAAGCTAGGGTTTTTAATGGAGATTACAGCGAGAGAGATGAAGTTGTGTCTTCAGCCACTATAAAAAACCGAAAAGTGCAAGAACCGAAAATCGAAACGAAACTTTAACAAATATATATCAACTTAGGGCTAGAAAACATAAATCGCATTAGGGCTTGTACCTGGTACTACCTACCTGACATGACAGGGCAACGATGTCGCTGTTTCAACCACCGCCACTTGCATAAACCTTCTGTTAATATGAACCAACAAACCTACATGGAATCAGAGATGCACACATCAAGCTTAGAGAGAGAGAGAGAGAGAGAGAGAGAGAGAGAGAGAGCAAAACGAAACTGGAGAATGTAAACTCCTAAATATGTAATTTGTAATGGATGATGGATTCGATTTAGCATGGGATGAGTCTCTTCAATTTATTGTGTATTCCTGAAGAGAGGGATTTTCACAAAAATAGGAGCGGAGAAGTTGCCCTTCTGTTGACGTTGTTGGACGGGATAAGGAAGGAGACGGGTCAAAAGCTATCGACATAACTATGTTAGACTGGATAAGATTATTTTTTCTACAATACATAAAATCGTTGTTATAATTTTATAAGATTTGTACCTTTTAAAATTCAGTATTTGGGGCGAAATGCTTATTAAGGTATATATATATATATATATATATATATATATATATATATATATATATATATATATATATATATATATATATATATATATATATATTGTCGTCTTATGTAGCATAGTATGCATGGATGGGCTGCACTATTAACTTTTAGAGGGGTGATGGGACAGTCTTGAGGAGGTTCATTCCAAGACTAAATACTAGGTGAATGGAATTATCTCAAGAGACACTGTTTGGGATATTCATCGGTATTCCCATCTCGAATGGTAACATGATGCTCTGTCATTTGATGATGTTACATGAGGTTCGTGATGAGGTGGTAGCCAGGGCTAAGAGGTTTCGGTTCGAGCTACAGGGGAGGGTCGTGGAATATGGTGAAACTGAATTTTGTGTGATAAGCGGGTTGAGATTTGGACCTTATGTCGATGTAATAAATACAAAATTTGACACAAAATATTTATCACAGAATCGGTTGTTCCCAAATGTCACAGATGAAGATCTGCAGCTAAAAGATATAGAAGACTCCATAAAAGATTATAGAGGTTTTGATATCGATTGGGAATTTTAGGCAAGGTTACTTGGTATGCATGGGAGTGGGTGGTTGGAATCTCTGGTAAGATATATTATTTCATAGCACAAAACGTTTTGGATAATTAATTATACAAAATGTAACATTTTATCTTATAACACACAACATTTGATAATATGCACATCGTTGCTCAAGGAAATTAGTCATGCGACTGCTAGGTGGACGATTATTAATCCTCAAGGAACCACTATGGAAGCTGGTAAAGAAGTTTATTTGAGGCGTATAGCAGCAAAGAAAGTTGGCGGACCTCATTGGAAGGATGTTGATCGGGTTAGTATATTTTGTATATATCATATAATTTTAATTTTTATGTATAATTTTACATTTTTATGCAGGTTTTAATTCCCATCAACGTTGGAAATTTCATTGGTTTTTGCCCGAGTTGAATCTCATTACCTAGAAAGTGACCATATACGATTCAGCCAAATGGTGTGGTTACTTTGTAGATTATGGGAATAACGGTTGTTTCAAAAACATGGGTGATAGTATTTTAAGTGAACTAGACAAAATTTCATGCTTACGTCATTTTCTCGATAGGCAGAAACCTAGTTTGGTGGAATTTGTTGAAGCTGAAAATGTACTGCAGCAGGAAGAAGAGGCAACTCGAGCAGACTGTGGAGTATTTGTGTGTATTTTCATGGAAATTCTTGCATCGGGGGTGGCAGTGGAGACACACCAGTCACCTAGAGATACAGGATTTAATTACAGAAATAGGATTGCATAAATTATTTGAGCAACTAGAGGTTGATTGTGTACTATGATTACTCTATTAAGACTATTTGCTTTTGTTATGATTATATTATTGCACCATTACTATTAGAGTTAAACTCATAAATCACCTTCAACTCGAAGAAAATACATATAGCAAACCTAAGACACATAATAAAGTTAGAATAATTTTTTAACAATAATTAACTTAAGGGAACTGGAATAGATACTTCTCTTTCTCCATTGTTATATAGTCATCCCTAATTCTTATTTTATCTTCAAAACGATCCTTTTGCACTATAATATGTATCATTTCTACATCCTTCTCATCAAGCCATTTTTCTGTCATTTTGATAGTCTTTTTAGTCTTTTTATCCATTCTTCATGCTCTTTGATTTTCTTTTTACTAATCTATATCCATTCTTGAGCCTCTTTGCACTCTGATGCAATGACATTACGACGTTCAGTGAGAACCCGAGATAACTCGTTATCTTGTTTTTGTTGTTCTTCAACCCATTGCAATTCTTGCAAAGTTTCATCGGATATATATGGCCCTTTCAAAGAGGGTACAATAAAGGGTCTATTGGATCACAATAGTAACAATCAATTTTCGTTGTAGGAGCGAATTTGGAAATTCGAAGATGAACTCATATTAAAGTTGAAAATATATATATTTTTTACTAAGAATTCAACGATCATATATGTGAATTTGTATACCCTTCAACTCCGCAGAGCTGTTTGTCAGTCAGTCTGGTGAGTTGTTTGTCAGTCTGAAGAGCTGTTTGCCAATCTTTTTTCTTATATGAATAATATGTTTATCTATAGGAAACTCACATCCAAAGTAGGGTTTGTGTTGCTAAAAAAAGACATAAATACACATTTTACATAATAACATTATTTGTTATAATGTAAACAACACACATACTACAACTAAGGTTTACATAGAACTTAATAAAAACTAACATTCGTTGTGATTCATAAGTTACAAAACCATTATATTAAAAATGGAGGTAAGATGAGCACCCTTTTAACTGGTATTTCCCAATGCACAAGGTTTTGGAATAGGATTCAACATCTCAGTTCGTAAATCATTTCGATACACCGCAGAAGTCAACTTATAATTTACCATTTGCTGAATTTCTTCAATTGTAAGCCTCTGTAGTGATTATATAGCGTGTTCACAAGGTATACCACATTTTTTCCATTTTCCGCAAGTACAAATCCCACGTTCTAGTTGCACCGATTCAGTGGTTAAATAATTTCTCACTTCAAATCTGTCGCTACTAGTATATCTAAGCCTACAACCATCGGATTGGATAAATCTTTTTTGAAGCACCTTCTGTACATAAGGGGTCAGATGACCATCAATACCCCACTGTGAAATTAATTGAATTACATATAAGAAATAATATTTGATAAAATATAATAATATTTAATTATTACCTCTGAATTCATCTCATTGAACATACACTCCTATAATTAACTCATGGACCATCTGAATGATTAGCGTTATTGGTAACCTCTTATCTAGTTCACGATAACGGGAATGGCGATGGATTTCACATTGAAATGTACTTTAGGAAAAAAAAAACTCATGCCCATTTTGGAATGGCAATATTGTCAAACCAGACAAGATCATTCCCATGAACCACATTTTGTAATCTTTTCAAATACGCGTAAATATTAAACACACTATACATTTTGCATGTCTGCAAGAAAAGGTATCAACATTAGCCATATAACACTTTATATTAAAAATAATTTACTATAAAAGATGACATACCAAACATCCCAAAGCCACAAAAAAATTGAAAACGGTCTCTCAAATCTTTCTTAATGCACATGAAGATTTGATTAACAACTATTTTATAATTCAGACCTAAACTGTGAAATGGTCCAAGTTCAAGAATTGGATCTGGACAATCAGGAACGGGATGAATGCAATACCATGGGTTAAAAGCAGTTTTTTGTTGCGTGAAATCATCTTCTGACTATCCTTCAATTGATTTTTCATAAGATAATTGATTAACCAAATCAGTTAGTTTTCCAAACTCAAATAAATTTTGTTCTTCTAATTCTATCATGAGCAAATTTTTTTCTTGATCATTATATGATATGAAGTTATAAGGTACTGAAGCTTCCTTTTGACAACCCACTCCCACATCATTTCCTCGTCCACCGGAACGGTTTCCACCAGATTATCTTCCTCCACAATCACTACTAGCTTTTTCTCCAATAAACCGATTCACAATCAGTTCTTTAAGTTGTACACAAAGCACCGATAAATACAAATGCACCGTCTACTTCGTTTACGACATTACATGCCTCAGTTGAAATACATCTGAATCATCTGAAAGCTCCATGACATATACACAGTATGGGTTTTTAAAAGACAACGATATATGACTATTGAACATACATGCCTTATTTCTAACAATTTCTATCAATATATGATGGTCCAAATTAGGAGGAAGATTTAAACCAAAGTTTTTAACACTATTTCTAAAGTACACGTCAGTTCCATTAACTGACTGGCACAACCCTCCCATACAAAAAATAATAAAACTCATTTTTTTCATAAAACTCTCCGCAAAATTAGATAATGATCAAGAAGAAAAACGGTTTCTATGCTTAAAACGTTTAAAAAAAATGAAAAAAAAACTTTATATGTTCCAGATTAACGTCATTAATGATCCAGCAACCATTTCCGCAGAAAATTAAAATTTCTGAAGAGGGATGTAGCATTTACGTAGAGACCTCCTCTGCGGAAATGTCAGACAAAATTTAGTGCTTTTAGATACCAGTTCCGTAGAGCATTCACCATTTCTATAGAGCATTCATCATTTCTGCAGACACCTTCTCCGCGGAACCATTTCTTAGACGTGATTTTTTGTCTTTTTCCCCATGTGTCCAATTCCTCAGAGGCTAAAGAATTCCACAGAGGCCCTCTCTGCGGAAATCGTGGTTATTTTATGAAAGTTCCATTTTCTTGGTCATTTTTTCAAACACCCCCCTTTTATGGTTTTTCACAAATTTTCCCTTTTTTCATTCTATCTTGAGTTCGTAATAGTCAGCCAATGAATAAAACAATGATTGAGAATTCTTTGTTGGAACCAAAAAAGATCATACCATTTGACTTTTTGTTCTTGACCCCTCATGGTTGCAGAAACTTGATTAACAACAAAAGGAACATGCTCTCGTTTCCAATTTATCCACAACACATATTCTCATTGATAAGCCTATGAATAGAGTAATCACCAAGTTATGGAATCAATCTTAACCAATCAAGAGGGCAAATCCAATCCTCACTAGTGATCACATCTTTGATTTATTCCTAATGTTAAATACAACATTTTCAATCTCCCTAGGAGTCAAAACACTCAAGGGACCTAACTGGTGCCAATTATCGAACCACATGAATGTATCTTCCCCACTACCAATTTGAGTGTAAAAAAAATCACGAAGATGAGGTATGATGTTTAAAAGATTTATCCAACTCCAACTCATTTTGTCTTTAAATTCAACATCCCAAAAGCTTCTTCCTTTTAAAATTTGAGAATTCACCCATTTAACCCACAACGAATTTTGAACACTAGGATTCTAT